GACGAGGAAACTGAGACGAACAGGGTGAAGTGACTTTCCCAGGGTCACACAGCTAGTAAGTGTCTGAGGCTGAGTTTTAATTCATGAAGATAAGTTTCCTGACTCCAGGCCCAGAGCTTTATGGCATCAAAGCATGACAGAATCATAGATTTACAGCTGGAAGGTCATCTAGTCCAACATCCTCATTTTCAGAAGTGCCTTGCTCAGGATCACACTGCTAGTAATCGTTTGAGGTAGGATTTGTACCTAGGTGTTCCTGGCTCCAAGCCCAAGACCTCTGCCCACTAGGCATTCTGCCTCATCAAAAAAAAAAAGAAAAAGAAAAAGAAAACGAAAACAAAAAGACCATAATCAAAAGATTGTTGATAAAGCTCAGAAGTTCAGAAAGGGAAGGATCCTTTCATGTCATCTAATTCATCGACTTATTTTACAGATGGAGACGCTGAATCCCAGAGGGGGAGGGGCCAGGCCAGTGCTACTTCCTGTCTCCCTAGATCCACCATACTCAGCTAAGTTGTCTTCCACAGGAGCCCTGGGTTTCTCCTTGCAGGTTTTTCTGCAAAGCCCCAGGAGGACGTGCTGGGGTCACTGAAGACAAATTTAGGTTCTAGGTGAAACCACATTTCTAAGGGTGGAGCAGGCTCCTAAGGCTGCTGCTGCTACTAAAGGGAGTGAGTTCCCTCTTACTGGAAGTCTTCAAGCAAAGGCCACATAGCCCCTTGTGAGTATGGAGGTGACTCGTGCAGGCAGAGGCTCGCCTAGTGGTGGCCTCTGATATTTTATGATTCTTCTGGGGAAAGGACCTCATAATAGCAGCTAGGTGGGACAGTGGACACGGTGTTGGACCTTGAGTCAGGATAGACCAGAGTTCCAATCCTTCCTCATACACTTAATAACTATGTGGATCTGGCTAAGTCAACCTCTCTGTCTCAGCTGTCTCACTTGTAAAATGGGCATATGTGAGGAGCAAATAAGATGTCTCTCAATATCCATCCATCCATCCATCCATCCATCCATCTATCTATCTATCTATCATTTTGTAAACCTTAAATCACTGGTATACAGATGTTAACTAGTAACTTCCTGTTCGCACCTAGCGAGTATTTGCTTCGGGTTCTCAATCAATGGCCTGGCTCTTCCTGGTATCCAATCTGTAGGCACTTCAAAAAGAAAAGTCTCAGTTGACACCTCCAATTGTTGATCGTTTTACCTCAAAGGCAAAGTTGCTTCTAATCACATTTGAACAGAACACTGAATAAGAGTTTGAAGCCAGCACATAAAGCAGCCTCCTTCTAAACAGTGAAACAGAAGTATAAAACACGGTCCCTGTCTTCAAAAAGCTTCCTGGGCAAACAGGGCATAAACATTAAACAGAGAACAATATGAGAGAATAAGGGTGAAGACAATAAGCATTTATATAACACCTACTATGTGCCAAGTGCTTTACAAGTATTATCTCCAATGATCCTCACAATCCTTGACAGTCGAGGAAACTGAGGCAGGACTTGCCCAGGGCCGCACAGCCTGCAAGTGTCTGAGGTAGAATATGAACTCAGGTCTTCTTGACTCTAGTCCTGGTGATGGGGTGTGGCCCAAGCTGAGGTCTTCGCCCCTTGCCCCAAAGGGAATCTAACTCCCATGTGCCTACAGGCCCCAGCCCCTCACCTCCCTTTGAAAGCCTTAGCCTTACCTTTTAATCTTATTCAGATGCTCCTCTGCCCCTTGCCCTAAAAAGAATCTGGCTCCCATTTTAGATTCCTTATTGACTCCCCTTATCTCCCTTTGAAAGGCCTCACCCTGCCTTTTCAATCTCATTCAGATGCCTTCGAGTTCCCCTTCATTATCTATTCTCAGACCTTCCAATCGGAATTCTTACCTAGACCCTTTTTCCCAGCCCCCTCCTCTGGCCACCCAAAGTCACTTTAGTATATAAGATCTACCCTGGCCCCCCATTCAGATGCTGAGAATCTCATGCCCAAAAGGCTGAGACTTTCTCATGCCCGCTTGTCCTTATGGGCGTCACCTGGCCTAAGTGCTTCATCACTAATAAGCTTTTCCTCCGGCTGGAAAAAGATTTGAGTTGAATTCATTCAGACGGGGCCCGGCATCGCGATCTTGGGGGTTCCCCTAGCAGCACCCCAAAAACCTCTAGACCTTTTCACTGGGACTTTATCCACAGGGCTACCTAGAATACAGGCCATCCTTTGTCTCAATTCTTACCCAGCCCTCAGTCATTGAATGAGTGTGGCCTTAGACAAACCAAGACTTGGGAAAGGCCTTAACTTAGAAAGGCCAAGGTCACCCACTGAATCCTGGGCCATCCCTTTGTCTTGCCACTGGACTTTGATGACTCCGAAAGAGAGACTGAGGCTGACAAACTTTGTGTGGTTCTGCCCCGCTCATACCCAATTCACACGCAAGGCAAGACACTGGTTATCTCTGAGAAGGAAAGACAAACAACAACAATCCAATGATAGGTTTTAGGGTAGAAACAATAAATGCTATAGTAGTTAAAGGAAAAACCAGTTTGGAATGCCCAACTGAGGGAAAATTTCCCAGATGAGGCGGGGCTTGACCTAAATACTGTGTTCTGTCAAACACAAAGATTTCAGTCTATTGATGCTTGACCACTTCACAGGGTAATGGAAATCATTGGAAGGCTCATATGCCAAATGACTGGGTAGCCCTTTGATGGCCACATGATAAGTAGTATTGACAATCAGCAAGGCCTCTGGAGATGCCAGGCTGGGGTGAGAGGGAGGGTCACTCCCTGCCTAATTGAAAGTGGTTTATAGCAGAGAAGCCATGACCAGCAAATAGGTAAAGCTTTCCTCTTATTCTAAAGACACGCTGCCCCTTGTCTTCTAAAAATCAAGAAACCATTTGAGTAAAGTTTTTATTTCAACTGTTTTGCTTTTATTTTTAGTACATTTTCATGAATGAAAGTATTCTTAGCACATAATTTTCAGCAATTTTTTTTTCTAGAACTATACCGACCTCAAAAAGCTTCAATTTTCAAATTTTGGATTCAATTCAACATCCACTAAGTAACTATGTTGGGAAAACTGCTTGGCACACAATGAGTTACACACTACAGGAGACCTAGTCCTGTCTCACTTCAAGGGCAAAGCCGGTTCTAACCACAGTGGAACAGAACATTTAACAAAGTTTTAAACCCAGAATTTAAAGTACCTTTATTCTAAGTCCCTGCTTTTCTGGAGCTTATGAGGCAGCAGGGTGACACAGTGGATAATGCTCTGTGCCTGGTGTTAGGAAAACTTGAGTTCAAATCCAGGCCTCAGAAACTTTCTAGCTAGGACCCAGAGCAAGTCACTTAACCAACGTCTTCAAGCACTTGGTGTTCTAGAATTTGTTTAGAGCCATTTTTTACAGGCATTTGGAGGGGCTTGGGGAACTCTTAAAGCACTGGGCACAGTACCTAGCACACAGTAGGTGATATGTAAAAGCAAGCTATTTTCATTATTATTATTATTATTAGAGTCAGGAAGATCTGAATTCAAATGCTGCCTCAGACACTTACTAGCTGTGTGACCCCAGGCAAGTCACTTAACCTGTTTGCCTCAGTTTCCCCATCTATAAAACAGAGATAATAATGGCACTTGCATCCCAGGGTGGTTGTGAGGACGAGATAAGCTTTGCAATGTACTTAGCAAAGTGCCCCTCACATTATTTATTAGGGGGAGTAAATGCACTATGTAGAATTTCAAGGTCATTGCACTAGAGAGCTGGAAAGAAAACAATATCGTATATGGGATGAGGTAGAGGGGGCATGTCAGTTCCAACAAGAATCTGGGAAGACTTCCCAGAAGTGGTGTCACCTGAACTGAGCAGAAAAAGGGAACTTTATTGTTCTTTATATATTGAAATATTTGTTGATGACTTTTTGCGATAAGATTTTTCACAACAAATTTAAAATAAAAAGAACATTTACTTTATTTTTTTTTAAAGGGGAGGCAGAGGCACAAAGCTGCTCCGAGACAACAACCTTTCCCAGTTCCCCCCAAGACCAGGCCGGCCCAGTGGGGGCTGCAAAAGGAGGTAACAACACCAATACAAGTATCCGTAACACAAAATATACGAACAGAATCACAGTATGCCCTCCAACGAAAATTAAAGCGACACAATCTGATGAGGTACAGAGAAGAGAAGGAGGTGAGAAGGGGATGCAAGCAAGTCTTGATAGTCTGCTAATATCCACGGGGTGTTATTTTTTGTAGTTAAAACTCGTTTGGGGTCTATAGTTTTGTACGTTGCCTTTAGAAATCTAGTTTATCTGAATACTTGTCTATGCTGACAACTGAGCTCATCATTCAAAAAATCTGAAATATATTGAGAATAAGACGAAAGATGCAAAAAGTTGCGTAGTCAGAAGCGAAGTACCTGCGCACGCGCAGAGGACGGGGCAGGTAGCCCAAGTAGCTTGCCAGGCCCTGGGGTCATGAGTCACGGGCCAGAGGTTCCGCCCTCTAGCGGAAGCAGAAAAACCAGGGGCGGCCGTCCGGTTCTCCGAGACCAGCCCTTCCCTCAGCGGGCTCGCACGCCGTTCCCCACTCACCGCTCCAAGGGACCGAAGCTTGGCTCCGCCCCCTCTTCTTCTTCGTCGCCGACGGAGCCGGAAGCCTTGAGGACCAACTTCCGTTTCGGCGAGGCGGAACTTCCGCTTTTTCCTCTCTCCCCCTCCCCCACCCTGGGCCGTGTCCGGCGGCCGAACCCGTAGGAAGGGGTGGGCTTCGGAAGGATCGTTCCGGAGCCGCTTGGGGCCGGCAGCGAGCCCTCCGGGGTCCTGGGACGCCTGCGACCCCGACCGCTCCCTGCGCTGCTTTCTCTTGTTCTTCCCGGAGCCGTGACGTGTCGTTTTGCCGGGCCCCCTCCTCCGCCCCAGCTGACTCTCGGGAGGCTGGGGGAGGGGGGGGCCGGGAGGTGGTCCCGCGGCTTTTCCCTCTGGCTCCTTGGGGTCGTCCTCACCCGGGCCTTTTTCCTTCGGCTCCGCCTCCAAGCTCCCCGTTGCTATGGCGACCAGCTCGTTGGTGTGGAAGCTGGCGGGGTTGCTGCAGGACTCGGGTAAGGGTGCTTCCGGGTCAGGGGGCGCGGGCCGGGGGAAGGGGAAGGGAGTGCGTTGAACAGCTCACGTGACCAGCTCCCCGAGCCCCTGGAGCCCAGCGCTTTTTTGGGTGTCGGGTTCGATAGTTGTTCTCGGCCTTGAAGCTGCTTCGTTTTGGGCCGCTAGGGGGCGCCGTAGTGCACAGAGGCCCCGGCCTGGAATCAGAAAGACCGGAGTTCAAATGCAGCTTCACAGCACTTAATAGCTGTGTGACCCTGGGCAAGTCACTTCACTTCTCCCTGCCTCAGTTTCCTCAACTGTAAAATGGGAATAATACTAGCACCTGCCTCACAGGGTTGTTGTGACGATCCAATGACATTTTAAAGTGCTTACTTAGTACAATGCCTGGCACATAGTAGGCATGCTATAAATATTAGATGTCATCGCTAACATTATTATTATTTAAAGAGATAAAAATTGTAAAGTGCTTAGCACAGTGCCTGGCAACACGGTAGATGCTCTATAAACATTAGCCATCATCATCATTATGATTATTATTGTTAAGTGAGAGAATAATTGTAAAAGCTTTTAGCATGGTGCCTGGCACATAGTAGGCACTATATAAATGTTAGCTATTATTATTACCGTCATTAATAGAGATTACAATTGCAGAAGCACTTGCAGCATGGTGCCTGGCACACAGTAGGGGGTATGCAAATGTTCTCTAAAGGTAACACACCCTCTCTGAGCCTCGGTGTCTTCCTTTGTCGGAAGGAGGTGATATGCCCCTTAACCTCAGAGGTGGTGGTTGTAGGGAAAGTGCTTTGCAAACTCTAAAGTGCCCCAGATATGTGAATTTAAATAGCAGCTTGTGTTTCTATAGTGCCTTAAGGTTGTGAATCTCTTTATATATTTTCTAATTTGATCCTTACAACCATCCTGGAAGGTAGGAGCTGTTCTTATCCCCATTTTACAGATGAGGAAATTGAGGCTCAGGTTAAGGGAGTTGGCCAGAATCACACAGCTAGTAAGTGCCTAAGGCAGGATTGGAACTGTGGACTCCAAGTTGAGCACTGTCTCCCACTGTGTGGTCCAGCTTCCCAGGGTCAGCAAGTTATGGGGTTACATCTGTTCTTAAATTCAACCCATTCCTACATACCTTACTTGTCCAGAGCTGAGTTAGGTGTGGTAGAGCACAAGGCTCAGCATCCTGGCTCTCCAGGTACCTCTGGCCTTGTTTGGAGGTTGGCCATCCCAGGCATCATATAGTGAAGAGTTGCCGGGAATGGTATTGTAAGGCTGATGAGAAGACAGTGAGTGGTCACTTGGTCCTGGGGTGGTCAGAGAAGGAGGTTTTATGGAGTTGCCAGGAATGGTATTGTAGGGCTGACGAGAAGACAGTGAGGGGTCACTCAGTCCTGGGGTGGTCAGGGAAGGTGGGTGTTATGGAGTTGCCAGGAATGGTATTGTAGGGCTGATGAGAAGACAGTGAGGGGTCACTCGGTCCTGGGGTGGTCAGGGAAGGAGGTTTTGTGGAGGAGGAGCATTGAAAGATGGGAAGAGTTAGGTTGAAAGGGAAGTCCACCTGAAAGGGGGTCAGGGCCAGGAAGGATGGAGAGAAGCATAATGACCAAAGCTTGGAAAGTCCCCTCCTCTCCTCTCTTCTGGAGCCGAAAGGCACACAGCATTCCCCATACCTGGAATGCCCTTCTACTCCAGCTTCACATCCTGGAATCTCTAGCCTTGGTCAAGGCATAAATGCCACCTCTTAGAGGCCTTTCCTGAGGCCTTTCTCTGAGGTCCCCTGAGGGGCAGGAAGAGGAAAAGAGGACCTCCATCTTCTGCTGTGCCGCAGGGTCACCTTCCTTCTCCTGGTGCCTCATCTCCAGCCTTTGGAGGGAAGAGGAGTGGAACCTTCCACCTCTGCTTCCCCCTACACATCCCAGTGATTCTGAGTTCCTGAATGCCATTCCTCATCTGCCCATCCCCCTCAGCTCTCCCACCCCAAAGTCCCAACCAGATGTCACTGATCCTTTCCACTGTGCCCTCTGAAATGCCTCTTCCGTAGGCAACAGGCTTCCTTCACCCTAAGTCTCTTCCTTTCATTTTCCTTCCATCTCTTGCAACCACTGAAAGCTGGCTCCCTGGATGACCTTGTCCAGGACTGACAGGCCCTTCACTCATTGCCATTGGCCCACTGGTCAAAACGTGGTAGCTGAAATACTTTTTGCTTCCCATTTCCACTTGTTCTCCTGCCTCCGTTACTCAGTGCCTCTCGTCCTTTGGGGTTCATGCTATTCATCTCTAACACCCACTCCAACTCCTGGTAGCTGTTGTCCACAGACCCCCAGGTCGTTCCCCTTCCTCAGTGAATTTGGTACCTCCTAACCTCATACTTGGGGACTTTCAGCTTTCCCCCAAACCCTTTTCTCCAACTTATTCTTCCACTCCAGCTCAGCCACAAGTGATGGTCACACCCTTGGTCTTGGCATCACCAACAAATGCACCACCTCCATGTTCGAGAATCCCCCAGTCTCCGTATCTGACCAGAGTCTATTGGTTTTCTTCCTTTCCCTCTCTCTTCCCTTACCAAACCCTGCTCTGTCCTTGCCATAGCGGCAGTAGGTGTAGAAAATCATGCAACCAGCCATTCTGACAGGGTCTGCTACAGCATGCTATTACCAGCCTGAGCTGGTTCCTCACTGCTGCCAGGCAATCCCGCTGTTCTTTTTTTTTTTTAGTTAAAATTTTTTTTAATATTAAACATTTATTAATTTATTTTATTTTTTTAGTTTTCAACATTCACTTCCACAAGATCTTGAGTTCCCAATTTTCTCCCCATCTTGCCCCTCCCCCCACCCCAAGACAAGGGAATACCCCTTCCCGTAATCTGTCCTCCCTTCTATCACCCCCCTTCTCTTATTCCCTTCCCCTTCTATTTTCCTGTAGGGCAGGATAGATTTCTATGCCCCATTTCCTGTATATCTTACTTCCCAGTTGCATGTGAAAACAATTTTTAACATTTGTTTTTAAAACTTTGGGTTCCAAATTTTCTCCCTTCCTCCCTCCTCACTCACCCTCATTGAGAAGGCAAGCAACTTGATACAGGTTATAAATGTGTAGTCATGGAAAACACTTCCATAGTAGTCATGTTGTGAAAAACTAACTCTATTTCCCTTCATCCTATCCTGCCCCCTGTTTATTCTGTTCTCACTTTTAACCCTGTCCCTTCTCAGAAGTGATTGCTTCTGATTACCCCCTCCCCCAATCTGCCCTCCCTTCTGTCATCCCCCTTCTCTTATCCCCTTCCCCCTATTTCCCTGTAGGGTAAGATAGAGTTCCATACCCAACTGAATCCACTTCATCCACTTATTAAGTGGCTCTTCCAGAGCTTGTCATCCCTCCTCAAACCTGCCATAGCTCCCTCCCCCCACTCTGCAGCTGAGATCCTTGCGTCATATTTTATTTTTAAAAATGGAGGCCATTCCTGTGAACTCCCTCTTCTCCCCTGTCCCTTGTGTCTGATCACTCAGTTGCTTTCTGCTGCTGCCTCCTCTTTCCCTGTCTCCCAGGAAGAATCCCCTAAACTCTGTCCCCTCTTCTCCCTTCCCTGTTACTCTAGAGGGCATCACCATCCTCCCGACCATCAGACTCACAACCCGTGGGTCAGCCTGGATGCCTCATTCTCTCTCACCTCCCATATCCGAGCTGTGCCAAGGCCTGCAGATTTCACTTGTGCAATATCTCTTGAATACACCCCCTTCTTCTTCTGACACTGCCACTCATCCTCTAGTGCAGGCCCTCCTCATCTCGCTCTTGGACCTGGGTCTGCCCGTCTAACATCTCTCCCCGCTCCAGGCCATCTTTTATTGGGCAGGTCTGACCGTGTCACCCCGTGCTCTGTAAACTCCAGTGGCTCCCCGTTGCCTCCAGGATCAAATCCAAGCGTCTCTATTTGGTGATCAGAGTCCCCAGTTGTCTTACATCTGTACTCCCCAGCATTTATTCTTTGGTCCAGTGACTCTGGCCTCTTGGCTCTTCCACCAACAAGACAGTCCATGTCTTAGCTCTGGCCATTCTCTCTGGCTCTCCTCCATGCCTGGAACACTCTCCATCCACATCTCTGGCCCACTGGCCTCCCTCAGCATTTCCTAATCCCTCTTAATTCTAGAGCCGTCCCTCTTTTAATTAGTTCCCATTTTTCCTTTATATTGTGTATTTGTACGTATTTGTTTGTTGTCTCCTCCGTTAGAATGTAAGCTCATGAGGGCAAGGACTGCTTTTGCCTTTTTTGTATCTTCAGTACTTAGCAGTGCCTGGCACATAGTAGGTGCTTATCAAATGTTTATTGGCTGATTTTCTCCCCTCTCCTTTCCCTGTTTACTTTGTATATGTTTTGTACCAACTTATCTGTATACGGTAGATTGTAAGCTTCCTGATGGCAGATTCTGCTTCATTTTTGTCTAGTCGAAGGGGTAGGGAATCTGCATGTAGCTTTCTAGGACCTTGGGTGAGGCCGTTTGACTGAGTCCACGTTTTATAGAACAAATCCTTTTATTAAGGAGTTTGTTCTGTGACGTCTGTAGTCAGCCAAAGGGCCGAGCTTGAGGACCTGGAAGGCCACGTGTGGCCTTGAGGCCGACGGTTCCCCACCCTGTGTCTAGCACGGTGCCTGCTGCTTTGTAGGATCACAGATGCGTGGACTGAGAGCTGGAGGCACCTTAAGTGTCACCTAAGTGCCGCGTCCCTCATTCTGTGGGTGAGGACAGGAGGCCTCCCTCGACGTGCCTGGTGGTTGGCTCAGGGTTGAACAGTGAGAAGCAGAGGTGGGATTGGGGAGCGTGGTGTCTTAGTGGATGTAGCATCCCAAGCTCACTGTGTGTGCCTTCTTCCTCGCTTCTTCTCTCCTTGCCCTCCCCGAAGGTGACCTGGTCCTGTCTGGCTGCAGTACGCTGACGCTGCTGACCACTACCTTGCAGCAGCTGAATCATGTGTTTGAGCTTCACCTGGGACCCTGGGGTCCAGGGCAGGCTGGCTTTGTGGCCCTGCCCTCCCACCCTGCTGACTCCCCAACTATCCTGCAGCTTCAGTTCCTCTTTGATGTGCTGCAGAAAACACTCTCACTCAAGGTTTGGGGACTGAGGGGAATCCGTATGTATTGGGAGGAAGTGGGAGCTAAGCTTGGCTACGTCTGAGGGGGACTGGGCTGGGGCCTGGGGGGTGGGGGATGGGGTCCTGTACGAAACCTGTCGGCTCAGAGTCTGGGTGAGAGTCATCCCGTATAATTAGGGGGCACTGTGCTGAGGGAGAGGCCCATCACTCACTCCCTTTCTCTCTCTTAGCTAGTACATGTCCCAGGCCCTGGCCCTCAAGGCCCCATCAGGATCTTCCCCTTTAAGTCCCTGAAGCAGCTGGAGGTATGACGAGATGGGAGATGGTTGTGTAAGAAGTGCTTTGGGGATCCGGGAGGGGTGTTCTTTGTGGGGGTCATGGGGGCTGCAAGTGCCTTTCCTCTGTCCCTCTGCCATGCTCTACTTAATTGACCTATCGTGGGTCCCTAGTCCATCCTTTTATGGTCCTTTTATGATCATTCCACTCCCCTGTCTTCTCCCGTGTTGATTCCTCTGTCCCTTTTGTTTATGGAACCTTCTCTCCAGCTACGAGCTGTCCCTCTTCACTGTCTGTGTGGCCTCCGTGGAATCTACTCTCAGCTCGAGACTCTGATCTGTAGCAGGAGCCTCCAAGCACTAGAGGTGAAGGAAGGTTGAGGGTGTGGTGGTGGCCTTACTCAGAGACGATGTAGTTCTGGTGGTGGGGAGTAAGAGTCTTGGTGTGGGAAGTAGTAAGCTGTGGCCCTGGGGGACCCTTGGGGTCGGGGTAATGGTGTTGATCCTTTCTCCCTTACTAGGAACTCCTCTCAGCTTGTGGAGGGGACCTCTGCTCTGCCCTCCCCTGGCTGGCTCTGGTTTGTGCTGATTTTAGCTATAATTCACTGACAGCCTTGGACCGATCCTTGGTGAGTGGGGCACGAAGACGCCAGAGGGCCAGGCAGGGAGGTGGGAGGAAGGAGAGCCCCCGAAGTGACCCCTTCCCAACCTGTTTCCCTCAGCACCTCTTGTCAGCTCTTCAGATTCTGAATCTGAGCCACAACCAAGTCACGGACTGTGAAGACTTCCTGACCGTGAGTCTGAGGCTGGAGGGTTGGGGAGAGTACAGTGACATCTGCCTCCTGGGCCTCGCTTGGACCTAAATCTGCCCAGGTAGGCTGTTGCATAACATTGTCCCAGCCTCATCACGCTGTCTCTGTCCTCCAGGCATTGTCCGAGTTGCAGCATCTGGACGTCTCTTATAACCGCCTTCAGTCGGTCCCGGTGATGGGCCCCTCTGGGGCTGTGCTGAGAACGGTGGTGCTGAGGGGCAATGAGCTTCGGAGCTTGTGTGGTGAGTTGGGGACGGCTCTGAGGAGGAAGATGGTGAGGACGGTGTGAGCCTGCTCAGTGGTGTGGCCATAAGTGTGTCATGCTGCTTGTCTTTTTATCCTGGTTCTCCCCACTCAGGGCTGGATCAGCTGAGGGGCCTTCGGCACCTGGACCTGGCCTACAATCTGCTGGAACAACACCGGGAGCTGATGCCCTTGAGGGTGCTGGCCGAGCTTCAGAGAGTGAGCGGACTATGGGGGATGGGGAATGAGAGAATGTGAACTAGGGCTGGAGGAATGAAGGCGAGGGCGGGCGCAGTGTTCCTCCTGGCTTAGGGCCATCGTGCTTGGGGCTTTTGATCTCCCGTCTCCTCCATAGCTTCACCTGGAGGGGAATCCTCTGTCGTTTCACCCTGATCACCGAGCGGCCACTGTCCAGTGTCTGTCACCGCAGGCCAGGGATACTTCTGCCCCTGGGGTAAGCTGTCTGCCCCCTTCCCCCCCATATCTGCTTTTTCCCTTTCTTTCTCTGACTTTTTCAAAACATTTTTTAAACAGATTTTTTTAATTGATCTCTTCTGTTTTTGCATTGCCTTTTTTTCTTCCCGTCCCTCCTTTTCCTTTCTGAGAACCATCCTTATTACAAAGATTTCTTTTTAAGCAAGAAAAGGACAAAGAAGAGAAAGATCAATGATATTAACACATAGAGTGGCCTCGAGCTCTGGAAGGAGCAGTGTCTTCTCAGCTGTTCTTTGGGGGGGCACTCGTTCTTTTTAATTTCATAGCATTCAGTTTGGGTTGTTTTGTTGTGCTTTGCATTTCCCTTGTTGTAGGCTTGTGTCTGCTTACTTCACGTTGCATCCATTCATAGTTTTCCTGCTTCTCCGTATTCATCACGCATATTGTTTCTTATAGCACTGTGGTCTTCCATTACATTCATTAAATGCCACGTTGTTTCTCCATTCCCCCCAAAAAAGGCCATCTGCTTGACTTTTTAAATTTTAGAAGTCTTCCCAGTAATAACGCTCTTGTTTTGTGTATTTATGTCACCGCTACTTCCCAGTGACTTCCCTTCCTCCCCCATCCTTCCCAAGAAAGCCTCTGCTGTCCCAAGGATAACCAAGCAAAACAAAGCAGCTGCAGCACACTGGCCATGTCTGAGGGCCTCTTTCCACTTGTCCACGAGAGGTGGGAGGAAGTGATGCCAGGGATTCTCCGGAGCCACACTTGGTCATTGCGCTGACCCAGGAGCTGAAGTCTTAGGGTTACCTTCTTTTATATCCCCGTGGTCATTGTGTAAAGGCTTCTCACGCTTCTGCTTACTTTGTTTCTCCCAACTTCCTGTTCCCTCTTGTCCCTTGTCTCCCTGGGTAATAGGGTTGTAGGGCCTGTGGAACATGATGTGTGCCTGGTGTCTCTTTTGTTTATTCTCACCCAGCATTGGTAACATTGAAGGAGACACTCTCAGCCTCCGGGGCCTCTCATGGTCCCACCTCTCCTTTCTTCCAGAGCTCGGGGGCAGGATTATGTGCTCGTGTCCCATCTGCACCAGCTGCCCTCCTCCCCAACACACACTGTTTTCCTTTCAGTTTCTTCTTGATGGGGAGCCGCTGTCACCTGCTGACTTACAGGTCAGTCTGGTGGGAAGGATTGGGCAGGGATTGAAAGGGTGGGGCAGGCAGGTTAATGGGTGCTGGAGAATGAACTCGGTGGGGCGGTGGTGTGTGTTCCTGCTTATAACCCTGTTCCTTACCATGATTGGGCAAGGAAGAGGAAACACTGATCCTCTGTCATCCTTAATAAAAGACCTGTTCTTTTTATGTGCTTCCAGCCTCCCACATCTTCTGGGCTTTGCTCCTTGGCCCTCCCTCTACCCTCTACAGGTGGAAGTGCCTCAGAGACCTCATATGGCCCTGACTTGAGTGACAGTCCGTCTTCAGGAGGTGTCTTGGTTCGCCCTCTCCCTCGTAAGGCTAAGGTGAGCTGCCGTTGCCTTGTGACTGGGGGCTCGGGGTTCTGGCATTGTTACTATGCCAGTAGTGAAAAGCCTTCATCCTTATCCGTGGCAGTTTTTGGGTTTGGGGGAGGGTGCTACCTAGAGATGAAGGGTTAGGTGTCCTGGGTTCCCACTTAACTCAGAAGGGGACTTCCTTTTGTCATTTTCAGAACCGCATCCGTGTGAGGCAGGCTAGTATCTCAGAGCCGAGTGATACTGATCCAGAACCCCGAACTCCAGAGCCCTCCCCTGCTGGTGAGACCTGGCCCTTGATTTTTCTTATCTCCCTCAGATTTTCTGTTTTGTGCTTTCTGTCCCTGCTGACTATTTCTATCTTCCTTACTAATCTCCTTTATCTTCCAACCCTTCTCTAGTTTCCCACTTAGGAAAGGCATCCTTCACTAAAGTCCTTCTATGATGTCTTCCTCGTTGTGGTGTGGGATTAATTCTAGGTTGTCAAGTCTGTGCCAGCCCAGAAGGGAAGCTCTAATAGGTCCTACCAAGCTGGAAAGGCTTTGAGGACCAGCCTAGCCATGAACCATATGCATCACCTAAGGGCCAGCCTAACCTCAGGCTTGTTGCTAGACTGGCCAGAGGGTGATGATTTCTCAGCCTTAGCAGCCCACAAAGAGCACCTTCTAAGGCACTTGAGGAATTTCACCCTGCACTGAGGAAGGAAGGACCCCACCCCCCCCACTGAAGTCATAGATTCTTGGAGCATGGAAGAATCATGAAGGGCATGGAAAAACATTGGAAGACATGTGGCACCGCTGCTCACCCCATATTGTATCTGTTCTAGGCTGGTTTGTGCAACAGCAGCGGGAGCTTGAGCTTATGAACAGTTTTCGGGAGAGATTTGGTAATGAATGGCTGCAGTACCGTAGCCACCTGGAGACCCCTGGGACACCTCCTCTGGGGACCCCCAAGACCTCTGACTTTGGCACAGTCCCCTTGGACCCCCCAAACCCTAAGAGCCTTTCTAGCTCACTGCAGCTGGGGGAAGGAGCCAGTAGTTTAGATGAATCCCTCCTGATTGGGCCAGGAGAGGACAAGATTGAAGAGGAGGTGGCTAAAGAGAAGGAAGAGGTGAAGGAAGAGGTAGCTGCAGAGGAAGATGCCAAAGAGGAAAAGGAAGGGGAGATAGAAGATCAAGAAGTGGAGGGTAAATGGTCTCTTGGTGTCTTACTCTGAGGTCTAGCAAAGGGAGGCTGGGGAGGGCATGAATGGTGTTTGGGGGTGGGAGGCAGTGGAAGTTGAGCAGGGGGCTCAATGTATCTCAATGTTGATAGAGTCTGAGTGCCTTGCATTGGGGTTTCTCTACAGCGGAGCTATGTCGTCCCATGCTGGTGTGTCCCCTAGAGGGGACAGACGGGGTGCGTGGCGAGGAGAGGTTTCTGCGGGTCACATCTGGGCATTTGCTGGAGGTAGAGCTGCAGGCAGCAAGGACGCTGGAGCGACTGGACCTTCAGAGCCTTTGGGCGGCTGAGTTAGAGATGGAGGCAGAGCCTCAGACCCAGAGCGGGGCAGTGCCTGCGGTGAGAGCTGTAACCTGGGAGAATGAGTGGGATTTGCAGGTTGGAACAGGAGGGAAAGGGCTCTTGGAGACAGTCAGACACCCAGGCTGGGAGAACACGTGTGGTGGAGGAAGAATTTTGTTCTGGGTCATATGGTGTGTCTCCCCTCAGCCCTGCTAACATCCATCAGGAGGGTGTGCTATGTCCCATGCCCTCAGAGGCCTTCCTTCCCCTCTTCTGTCCGTGTTTGCCCCCCAGGACTCTGATCATGCTCCTTGTGGCCCGATTATTGCCCTGCGCTTCTCCTATATCCGTTCTGACCGGCGGCTGCGACGGTACTTGGTGGTGGAGCCCGATGCCCCTGCTGCTGTGCAGGTGACAACCTGGTGTTGGGCATGGGGGGGTGTTCAAGGATCAGAAGAAGGAGGGGATTGTCAAGGAGGAGGACCCTCTTCTGGGATGCATGTCCATTTCAGGAACTGCTGGCTGTCTTGGCCCCAGCAGCAGCTGCCTCGAGGCTTCGGGTGGGGGCAGCCGGAGGTCCATCAGGAGGCCAGCTTCGGTGCCTGCGCTGTCATCAGATCAGCATGGTGATGACTCCTCAGGAGGAGCTGGATGCCCAGGGCAAGTGGACACCAAAGACCGGTAGAGAGCCCTGGCCCTTTCTCCCTGCACAGATCTGGAGGCTTTTCTTCCCTCCTGTCTGTCCCCCCAGCTTAGGGAGGGAGTGGTCCCTGCAGAAGGTGTTGAGGAGGGGTTTGACAGAGATCAGAGCTTCGAGGGATGGTGTGGGGACAATAAAACTTCATGGAGAATGAACCAGGGGTGCAGAGGAGCTGGGGGAGTGGCCAGGGCAAGAGAATGGATGTAGGAGCCTTATTGAAGGCTGAAGGCTGTTGGTGTGGGAACTATATGGCCAGCTCGAGGTCCTACTCTCTCCACAGATGGCCCGCTTCTGTGTCCCGTGTGTGGCAGTGACCACGTGGTGATGTTGCCTCAGCATGATGAAGCCCCCAGAGGGGAGCAGAAGGAAGGGGAGCAGGACCCAGCTTCCTCCGCCCTCCCCAGAGCCCCTCTGGGCTCTCCAGATGAGGGTGATGGCGATAATTCCAGCAGTCCTTCCCTCCAGGCCCTTGTGCCCCAGGACACTGACAGCTGGGGCCTTTGTCCTCGTGAGTATGGCACAGACTTGGGGGGAAGTTAAGTGAGGAAAGGCACTGGAGTCAGAAGGCCTGTTTCCAGAGTTCAGCCTCTGACACTCAGCTAGCTGTAGGCACCAACAACCTAGCCTTTCTAAGCCTCAGTTTCCCTATCCATAAAATGGGAATACTAACACACTGCCTCATAAGGTTGCTGTGAGGAAAGTGCTTTGTAAACCTTCAAGTGCCACACAGATGTAAGCTTATTATTATTTATTATTGCGAGGATCATTTGGCAGGTTTTGGGGGAGGCATGAGGGGACAAAGGAGGATGTGAGATTGACTGGGGCAGGGCATATCCAGTTAGTAGCTGTCTAGCTGGGCTTACTCTGTCCCTGGCCTTTAGCTTCTGACCACTCTGGGCTGCGCTCTGTGGATCACCGACTCCGACTTTTCCTGGATGTTGAGATATTTGAAGACGTCCAGGAAGAGTTTCAGTGCTGTCTCAAGGTGGGGCCCCGACTCTCCTCTGGTCTGTGTAAGTTCCCTCGCCCCCACCTCTGAGTCCTCCGCAAGACTCCCTGCCCTGTTCCTCCCCTTCCAGGTGCCGGTGACACTTTGTGGCCAGTCCACGGAGGTTCTTTCCCTTGTTGTTGTATCTGATCTCAGGCTTTATGTGCTGGAGGTGACTGGGGAGATACGGTGAGTGGGGCCCTGCGGAGGGACTGGGGAAGAGGGGACCTCTGTGTGGGAAAGTGCTTTCTCCCTCGGCTCGTCTCCCCGATCGCTCTGTCCTTCCCTCTTTCCACAGAGGTCAGCCTTCTAGCTGGCTGCAGCCGCGCTCAGCTGTCTCCCTGCAGGACCTGAGCTGCCTAGAACTCGGCCTGGCCGAGCAGAGCCTTCGGCTGGAGTGGGCGGGGGGTGGAGGTGGCTGCCTTCTGCTGCCCCGGGAACCCCGATGCTGCCGTGCATTTCTGGAGGAGCTCAGTGGTGAGGGAGAGGGGCCTGTGTGGCCCACGAATTTGGGGTGGGGCGGGGCTGGAGCATTGAAGCCACTCAATGATGTCACTGAAAGCTTGGAACTTGGGAGTGTGAGTGGTGAGGGGTGAGGGGTGATGGTGGCAAGAGCTCAAGCCTGACACCCCATTTGCCACTCCCAATCCCACCCTATGGCTCTCTCTAGCCACCCTGCAGCTGCTGCCTCCTGGCCGAAGGCCTCGTGTTACTGCTACCAAGGAGGAAATGACGGGTCAGCACCGACTCTGGTGAGTCCTACACGGTGTCTTCCGAGTCCTCTCTATCCCACTTTCCCAGCTGTGAAAATCAAGTTGGGGTGTGGGGTTAAGAACCACTCTATAGACCACTTTCTGTGGTCAGACCTCCCAGAGAGAAAACCCTGCTCACTTCTGTCCATTCTGCCCTCACCCAGCCCACCTGTCTTGCTCCCCATGGGTCATCTTCCTCCATGGGCCCCTGTAGTCCTTTCTCTCTGTCACTGTACTTCACCCCTTCCCCCTCTTTCATACCCATATTTTCCCTGCCCCTCTACCTAGCCTGCCACTGATATCCATTCCTTCCCATGGCCCCTGCCCCTCAGGCCATTGCTAGACACCGACTCCAGCCCTGAGGACCCTCAGTTCTTCTACCTGCGGGCGTTTCTGGTTGAAGGTACTACATCTGGGGGGTGAGGGGAATGGAGCTCTTGGGCAAACCCCTCCTGACACTGTGGGCGTACTGTGATGAAGGGACCTTGTCTGCCTCTACTCTGGGATTGAATCATAGTTTGCTGAGGTGGGCTGGATCTCTACTCGCTTTAAGTCTGTACTCTTCCAGTGGCCTGGTGGGACCCCACTTCCCACCCTCACTCCCACCCCAAGGGGAATAGAGAGACATCTGGCTGCCCTTTAGTGGGCTAAAGAAAGTAGAATGTAGCTACCCTTCACCTTATTTTTGCCTGGTGGTGGAGAGGATCTTGTAACTTGCTGGGCTCGTGACGGGACCTTGGAGGTTCTGGAAACCATGGATTTCTTTGGTTTTAGAATGACGGCTGTAGCACCAGGAGAAAGATTGATTAATGACTGATGATAACATTATTATGTCCACTCTCCCCAATGTTGCAGTGCTGGCTTCTGTCCTTTTTCTCCCTTTGGGGGCAGGGAGCTGTTCATAACTGTCTCAGGTCCTGTGTCTTTTGGCCTTCATCCCCTTGTCTTCAGGCTCTACTTCCTGCCCAGTGTCCTTGTTGATAACTCCATCCACCTTGTATCTGCTGGATGAAGATCCCATGTGGTCCCAGGCTGGGCCTTCTCCTTTAGAGACAGCTGGAGAAGCATCCATAATGACACTTCCCTCAAGACTGGATCCTTCTGTCCATATCCATGAGCAGCAACCGCTCAGCAGCCTCAACTCCATACAGGTTTATCAAACAGCCCTGATGGACTTTCGTCTGGCACTGTATGATGAGGTATGTGTGTTTGGAGGGGAGCTGTGAATGGTTTGGGGAGAAAATAGGCAGTCCAGAATGGGGTATGAAGGTATGAAGACTAGAAGAAGTAGGGCACTTTGGAGAGGGCCTGGCATCAGGAGGGAAAATGAGGGGTGGACCAGAGGAAGATAAGACCTGGGGAGAGGTAATTAGGAATTCTGCTCTATCATGAGTGATCGAGAGGATCAGAGGACGAAGGCCTAGGGAGAAGAGGAGTGAGATTGTAGGGCTGGGGAAGGAAGAAGAGAGATGTGGGGGAGTGGCTTTTCCTCCAGGGCCTCTCCCCGCTAGCATAATCTCAGCCTCCTATGTGGTGGAAAGGTCACTGACCCCTTGGCCCTGTAGGTATTACGACTTGAGAGTTTTTGGTCTCTTCGTGTTGTGTGTCCGGAGCAATTGACTGCGCTGTTGGACTGGATCCGAGGTCCCTGGGAGGAGCTATTTTCCATTGGACTGCGAGTGCTGACCCGGGAGGCCCCAGACACTGATCCATGAGGCTGAGAGCCGTGCCCTCTGGGAACTGAACTGACTTGTTGTGCCGTTCATGGTCCGGTCGCCTGCCCCAGATTTGCCCAAGGGAAGGACATGAGTATGCTGCTGTGGTCCCTGGGCAGCTCTGACCAGAGGTGACCGAGCTGTCAGCAGAGATGATGGTCCAGGGATCAGCCCACTTAAGGCCTTTGACAATGTGACATTGACTGTTTCTCAGGTGCCAATAAAGCTTATTTCCATTCCTGATTTCATGGCTACAGCTGGGTAAATGGAGCTGCCAGGCAGTTGGTTGGACTGTTGGAGTCTAGGTCAAGCTGTGCTGTAGTATAGGGCCTGTTTGCCAGATCCCCAGTGTCCAGCAAGCCGGGGTTTGGGGGGCTGGGGTGGGGAGATCTTGACTTTCCTTCTCTCTTCTCGGTTGAGGTAGTGATGGCAGGGTATGTGGAGTTGCCACTTCAGGGAGGCTGACATCATCTCCAGGAAGTGAATGAATTTCCCATTCCCGTTTCCATAGTGGGAATATCATTTGTCTCATAGGAGATTGGAAAGCTAGAGAAAAGCTATGGGTTTCTTCCCCTTCCCCAGTGACCTGCTGTGTCTCCTTGTTTCATCTGCCACAAGGGGGCAGTGGGTATTCAGCCCTCCTTGGAGGTCCTTCTCTTGCAAAAAGGCCTTTTCAGGAGCCCAGGTGATCAGAGTGGCTCATTGAGTGGTTAACTCTGGTGGTTTGCAGGCTAAGTTAAGAAGTCCAAGGCCCAGCTTCAGGGCCCTGTGGGTCAGTTGGTGCTCTGCTCTATCTGCCTCAGCCGTCCCCCCCAAACCTGGCCAGCCCTTCTCCAGGTGTCTGGCCACAAAGGGCCACAGTGTGTGGGTGGGTCAGTGCAAGTTCATCACTAGCCCTGGAACCATAGCCCAGAGTGCATGCCCTCCTCAGCGTGAAACGGCATTCTTCTGGGGCTCACACGAGATCATGGACGCAAAAGATTTTTTTAACCACAAATCACCCCACTGATATGAGCCATTGCTATTAGGTTGTAGGGGAGGGGACAAAATGGGGGTTTGTGTTGACTCACTGTGGACCTTGCACCTCTTAAACTCCATCCTGGGAATCACCATCCCCATTGTCTCATAGAAGTAACGGTCATAAAGGTTAGTGCTGGAAGTGACCTAAGAAATCATTTAATACAGGCTCCTTATTTATATACAGTGCTATATGGTTTACACATATTAATCTCATTTGAGTCTCATAACAACCCTGGGATGTAGGTGCTATTATTATCCCCATTTTACAGATGAGGAAACTTGAGGCAGGTAGAGGTGAAGTGACTTTCCCAGGATCACATAGCAAGTAAACGTCTGAGGCAGCATTTAAATTCTGGTCTTCTTGGCTCCAGTTCCAGCACTCTGGACCACGGAGAATGGGAAAGGTAGGTTGGGACCAAGCTCTGAAGAACTTTAAAAGCCAAGTAGAAAAGTTCACTTTTCATCCTAGAGGCAACAGGAAGTCGTTGGAGTTTAATAAGTAAGGAAAGTAACACAGACTGCCCTGTGCTTTAGGAAAATCACAATGATAGCTGTGTGGAGAATGGATTGCAGTAAGGAAAGACTTCAGGCAGGGAAGTCACTAGAACAGTCCAGCTGAGAGTTGAGGAAGGCCCTAACCAAGGACGTATGAGTAGAAGGGAGGGGATGCTTGCAAGCAATATGGAGGTCAAAGCTTCTGGATTTGACAAGTCATTGGATGTCGTAGGGGAAGGGAGAGGAGAGGGAGAAATCAGTCAATCACTGACTTCAATGAGCACTGTAGCGAAGTAGAAGTTTATGAGATGAGCTAAAGAATCACCTAGTGGGGCCTCGGGAGAAGTCAGTTTGAGGGGATGAGGTTGGAAGCAGAGGTATAGAGTGTGAGACGCTGATGAATGAGGGTATTGGGTAATGAAAGGGAACAGAAAGGAGGCTAGAGATGCTCCATAAAGAAACATCACCTACTTTGGTTTTGCCTAAGGCAGGCCCTGAATGCCTCACTTGTTTTTTTTCCCTACCTCAGTGAAATTTTTTTTTCTTTTCTGTTTTTTTTAATATAAATTTATTTATTTTCAGTTTTTAATGTTACTTCCACAAGATTTTGAGTTCCAAATTTTCACCCCATCTCACCCCTCCCCCCACCCCAAGATGGCATGCATTCTGAATATCCCCCTAGTCTGTCCTCTCTTCTATCTCTTCCCCCCTACGCTTATCCCCTTCCCCTTCTATTTTACTGTAGGGCAGGACAGACTTCTGTACCCCATTTCCTATATTCCTTATTTCCCAGTAGCATATGAAAATATGTATTTTTTTATTTTTAAACACATGTTTTTAAAACTTTAGGTTTCAAATCTTCTCCCTCCCTCCTCACCCACCCTCATTGAAAAGGCAAGCAACTCAATATGTTATACATGTGCAGTTATGCAAAACACTTCCATAGTAGACATGTTGTGAAAAACTAACTCTATTTCCCTTAATCCTATCCTGCCCTCCCATTTATTCTAGTCTTTCTTTTGACCCTGGCCCTCCTCAGAATTATTTGCTTCTGATTACCCCCTTTCCCAATCTGCCCTCCTCTCTGTCATCCCCCCTGCTCTCTTGTCCCCTTCTCCCCCTATTTTCCTGTAGGGTAAGACAGATTTCCTTACCCAATTGAATGTGTATGTTATTCCCTCCTTAAGCCAAATCCTATGAGAATAAGATTCACTCATTCCCTCTCACCTTCCCTCATTTCCCCTTCACTGTAAGAGCATTTTCTTGTTTTTTTTTTTTGAGATAATTTACCCCATTCTACCTCTCCCTTTCTTCTTCTCCAATATAGTCCTCTCTCATCCCTTAATTTTATTCTCCAGATATGACCTCTTCATCTTCAACTCACCTGTGCCCTCTATCTATCTATCTATCTATCTATCTATCTATCTATCTATCTATCTATCTATATGTATAATTTTTTCCCTCCAACTACCCTAATACTGACAAAGGTCTCATGAGTTATAAATATTATCTTTCCATGAAGGAATGTAAACAGTTCAACCTTAATAAGTCTCTTATGATTTCTCTTTCCTGTTTACCTCTTCATGTTCCACTTGAGTCTTGTATTTGAAAGTCAAATTTTCTATTCAGCTCTGGTCTTTTCATCAAGAATGCTTGAAAGTCCTCTATTTCACTGAATGACCATTTTTTCCCCTGAAGGATTATACTCAGTTTTGCTGGGTAGGTGATTCTTGGTTGTAATCCTATCTCCTTTGCCCTCTGGAATATTATATTCCATGCCCTGCTGGTCCTTTAATGTAGAAGCTGCTAAATCTTGTGTTATCCTGATTGTGTTTCCACAGTACTTGAATTGTTTCTTTGGCAGCTTGTAATATTTTCTCCTTGACCTGGGAACTCTGGAATTTGGCTACAATATTCCTAGGAGTTTTCCTTTGGGGATCTCTTTCAGGAGGAGATCGTGGATTCTTTCAATTTCTATTTTGCCCTCTGGTTCTTACTATCAGGGCAGTTTTCCTTGATAATTTCTTGAAAGATGATGTCTAGGCTCTTTTTTTGATCATGGCTTTCAGATAGTCCAATAATTTTTAAATTCTCTCTCCTGGATCTATTTTCCAGGTCAGTTGTTTTTCCAATGAGATATTTCACATTGTTTTCTAATTTTTCATTCTTTTGGATTTGTTTTACAGTGTCTTGATTTCTCATAAAGTCACTAGCTTCCAATTGCTCTATTCTAATTTTTAAGGAAGTATTTTCTTCAGTAGTCTTTTGGACTTCCTTTTCCATTTGGCCAATTTTTCTTTTTAGGGCATTCTCCTCATTGGCTTTTTGGACCTCTTTTGCCATTTGGGTTAGGCTATTTTTTAAGGTGTTATTTTCTTCAGTATTTTTTTGGGTCTCCTTTAGCAAGCCGTTGACTTGTTTTTCATGATTTTCTTGCATCACTCTCATTTCTCTTCCCAGTTTTTCCTCTACTTCTCTTACTTGCTTCTCAAAATCCCTTTTGAGCTCTTCCAAGGCCTGGGACTATTTCATATTTTTCTTGGAGGCTTTGGATGTAGGAGCTTTGACTTTGTTGTCTTCTTCTGGTTGTATATTTTGATCTTCTTTGTCACCAAAGTAAGATTCTATGGTCTGACTCTTTTTGCGCTGCTTGCTCATGATTCTGGCCAATTACTTGAGTTTTAAACTCTTTGTTAAGGTAAGAGTCTGCTTCCAATGTGGAGAATGTACTGTCCCAAGCTTTGGGGGGTTTATATAGCTGTTTTCAGAGATACTTGTAGGAACCCGTAAATTTTCAGTTCTTGCAAGGTGGTATGATAAGGGGTGAGGTGTTTCCTCCTTTCCTGGCCTGTGCTGTGGTCTATTAGTGACCACAAGCACTCCTTTCTATCCTGGAACTATGAGGAAGGTTTCCTGTTCACAGCCACTACAAGTTCTACTGTGCCAGTGCCCCTCCTCACCCTGGAACCCCTGTCCAGAATTGTGACCTAGATTCAAGCACGGGCAAAGCAAGAGATTCCTGCCTCAGCACCAGCAGAGAGATCCCTGCAATCCCTCTCTGATCAGCCACTCGATTCCCCCTCAGTCTATGGGCTGGAAGCTTGGGAAGCAGCTGCCCACCCCAGGGCCATGCTCTGAGCTCTCGGGGAACTGAAGCTGAGACCCTGCCTTCCTCTCTCAGCACCGCAGAAACAGACTTTTCCCACTGATCTTCTAAATTGTCTTTGGCATTCGTGGATTGAGGAGTCTGGAAACCACCACAGCTGCCCCCCAATTCAGTCCTCTGAGGCTTGCTCCAGGTTTGCTGCAGTTCTGATCAATCATCCAGGTTGTCTTGGGCTGGAAATTTGATTCACTCTGTCTTTTTGTGGGTTCTGCTGCCTTAGAATTTGTTTAGAGCCATTTTTATAGGTATTTGGAGGGGTTTTGGGGAGAGCTCAAGCAAGTTGCTGCTTTCACTCTGCCATCTTGGCTTCCACCCCCCTGGACTTCCTCAGTGAAATTTTAATGAACAAAATTAAAACCTTCCTAAAATATTAGCACACATTTAGTAATATGTGCAGATAGCATCTCTTTTTGCTTCAGTGATTTTGTAGGGAGAGAGATTGGCCCAGTAATTTTATTGGGTTAGGTGAGTTATCTCCCTTTATCAATATAGGTCAGCACCATGTATAGTCTTACAGAGTTACCTAGAGGGCATGGAGAAGTTGAGCTACTTACCAGGATCA